GGGTTCGAGGGTGTGAGAATTGACAGGCACAAACAACTGGCCGCCTGTCAATTCTCACACCCTCGAACCCAACACCTTGTCTGAAATTTTTCTTCTGCGCGTTCAAGGTTACTCTTGGCCTTGTTCGAAGTTACGTGACACTTGCTTTAATTGCATGTAAGTCATCGAGTGAGAATTATGTGTTTAGAAGAGAGTAGAATTTATAACGATTGCAGTAGAGACTGAAGTTTCCTTTATAAGAATGCGCTCTATGACGTAGGCCTGCAATATACTCCCACATTTCAGGAATCAGTAGGCAGCAGATTCATGATTTATCTTCACGTCTGTTACGTTTCTGCGGGTCGACAACCGGCAGATCCACTCGGAGAGATTTCGGGACCCATAAAGTTGTCGAATTAATGAGCAGAATGAATGAAATTTGATGAAAGTGTGACAGTCTCCTCCATTCAGGTACACTACACATTTTTTTGCGAAGATTTACAATATAATATATAGCAGGAAGCCAAAGGTGACAAGGAGTCGCCTTCTTGGCCCTTGCACCACGAAACAACGCAGTCAGGGTAGCTTATGTCCCAGCCGAGATTCGAACCGAGAAAACTGAGACGCTTGAGTCTTGTATCCGGGAGGTGCTTGATTTGAATCTCGTTCGGGACACCTACTATCTTGACAGAGGTTTTTCTTGGTTAACCTAAAATTCCAGATTGTTGCCTCACATTAAAATATGCCCCTTTCTTCCGACACAATTTTAAATTCATTGTTAATTAATGACTGTATTACTGTAGGCTATACACTCTGTGATGAACGGAGAAGTTCATGGAGCTAGGCCTAGGCCCACTGGGGCTGTAGTGCCGGGGGGGGGGATTACACTCTGTGATACCGAGAGTGTCGTTATAACAGCAGATACATATGAATTGTGCTGTTAACATTTCTAACAATATCTGAAATATCGTAATAATTCTGAACAATATTAAAAGGCAAAAAGTAAAGCTCTCCCTGTAAGAGGCCGTGAAGGCTCATAGTGCTGTGAGCTGTGAGACGACAAGGCTGTCATTATTTTCTAGACATTCAACTCACAGATGGTGGTGAGGTTATCAGCCTTATATGCTGGTCACCCTTTACCCCCAGAAAGATTTCTGGTACTTACTGCTGTAAAGAATCTGAGTAGACCTCGGGGCTATAGTAGTGAGGCTGTAAGAATTAGGTCAATATAAAAATCCAATGACTTCATCTGGAATTGAAACCGCGACCTTTTGGCTTGTAACATAATTATTCAGATTGGCGGTCACGTAGCACGAATAGGGAGAAGAGGAATGCATATAGGATAATGTTGGGAAGGCCAGATGGAGAGAGACAACTGGGAAGACCAATGCTTAGGTGGGTGAACAACATTAAAATTTATCCTAGAGAGATACAATGGGATGAAATGGACTGGATCGAACTGGTTCAGGATAGGGACCAGTGGAGGGCTCTTGTGAACACGATAATGAATTTTCAGGTTCCATAAAATGCTGGGAAGTTCTTGAGTAGCTGCAGAACTGGCGACTTCTCAAGAAGGGCTCAGCTCCGTAAGTTAGTGACTGAGTTAGAACATAATGCTTCCAACAAGTACACAAAAGCGTTCCCTGTTGTGTACATCATTACTATCCATACATGAATCTCCATTTGCCGTCGTGTGTTGCGTGATTGAGCTCTGTCTTATTTTTCGTAAAGCTCTTTACCCTACTTATGATAATATTCCTGTATACACTTGGGACTCGTTTCGTAAAAAACGTGACTGGAATTTGGTCTTTACAATTTATGAGCCAGAATGCCGAATATCGGTAAATGCTGTAATTCCACATACACGTCTTGTAGAGAAGCACTGTAGCAAAAAGAGTGATTATTAATTATTGTCGGGGTGTCCGCTTATAGGTCACAGGAACCCAGACAATAATATAGAAACACCATGTTTTATATGTAACTGTGAATAGTCAGGAAATCAACGATTAAACAGTTCTTGCTTTTTTAATATGTTGCATACTGCAGAAAGTAATGGATATCTTAGGCACATCTAGGACTCTTAGAACAAAATTCTGAATGACTTCTAATATGCGATTACTTGAACATTTTGTAGTGTGGAGGATTCAGAAAAAATCGTTGCATATTGTCTATGAAAGACATGTTCAGAACTCTTCAATTTTTTCTTTACCCTTCATAATTTTTATCTGAAAAACGTGGAAGCTAAACTGAGTTTTTTCTTCAAAAGCGCTCTAATAATCATTAATTGTTTTAAGATTTAGAGGCAGGTTATAGTACGTTCATAATTATTTATTTTTGACAATGAAAATTCTATTTAAAAATATGTACACGCTTCTTGATGTCGTAGGGAGAATTGTATTCTGCTTCATGGAATGAAGTCCGAATATTGGTTCATTAATCGCTATACAATCTTTATCGGTACCTACAGTCCTATTTCTTTCCTGAAATGAATTGTTACTTTTGGAGAAAACGTATCTAAAATTCATAAGATATTATAGAGCTACTGTCAACTTGCACTTGGAAAAAAATTACCATCGTCCATTGACCATTTTAAAAATTAAGCTGTATGAAGTATTTACTCAGCATTCAGTACAAATATTCAGAGTAACTACAGAGTTTCCAAGGATTTTAACATTACATATTCAAGTTTTTCTCATATTCATCTTTTACTTTCGTCCATAAATTCATTTTTAACGGTACTGCGCCAGAGCACTGCAGCAGAAGCAGAGGCAGAAGCAGAAGTAGACGAGAATATCCCAGTTTTGCGCGTTAATTGTGATGTCCGCCCAGAAGATGATCAATTTCTCGTTCTGATGACGTCTAATAATCTGAAGATGGTGACTCCACTCAGAACTGAGAAGCCGATGCGCCTTCCACGTGACGAACACAGACATGGATTATTGATCTACGAGAGAGGAATCCTCTCCACAGAAATAGGAAGTCTGCATGGAGTACAGCCTGTCGATTGGATTCAAACCTTGAAGAGATGACGCATGTTGGTGCAGAAACATGTGGTTATGGTGGTGATGGTGGTGATGGTGAGGATGATGGTGGTTGTTGGATTCCAGTGACGCATCTCCACCCCCGTTGTAAGGGTAGCTTATAAACCCGTTGTCCATTTTACTGCCTTCGTGTTGACTGTCCCCTGTCAACAAAACAAGTAAACGCAAGCGTTTATGATGTGTCCATCAGCTTTTCCAGCACACACCAGGAGAGAAAACAGCCATTTACGGTAAAAGTAACACACCCCAGTAAATCAGCCTGTATAAATTGACTCCTTAAGTTAATAATATGATAGAGGGATGTAGACAGAAACCACTATAGGATTCACAGCTCAATTTTATAGCAGAGTTTTAGCATTTGCAATATAGAACCATCATGTCATTTGGCGATATTGTATCGGTTAATGAGGTGGTGTAGCATAGAGTGCCTCATATCAAAATGGTGGAAATTTCTGATGTTGTTGATACGTGAGAGATATAATCTAATTGAAGTCCCTTCCCATGAACCTGAGTCAGAGAAGTCTCACTGAATGATAATCCAGCTCATTACAAAATTGAAGTAGGTTATAACAGGATTTTGATAGCCTATACCATAAAATAGAGGGCACGCAATAGCGTAGTTGGTTGAGGGACTATGCTACAACCCCGAAGTTCGCGGTTTCGAGTCCTGAGCAAGTGGATTCTTTTCAATTGACCTAATCCTTCCAGCCGCACTATGACTGGGGTCGAGGCTACCACATTTTCTGGACAATGATGGTGGGGTTGCCAGCCGCCCTTTACCCCCCAGGAAGATTCCTGGTACTCATTTCTGTTAGAGGCTGAGTCGACTCCAGGGACATAGTGCGTCTGGAAGGATTAGGTCAATTGAAAATTCCAATGATTTCATCAGGAATGGAACCTGCAATCTTCCGGTTCAAATTTTAAATATGTGGAGTTAAATAAACACAAGAATTATATACATTTATTAGCTTGCTTTCTTTTCTTAAAAAGGAGGCTTCATGATACCACCTTGCTCTCCATATGTCCATGATACCAGCGTGTCTGTGTGTCCCCGCAGTAGTGGAGCGAGAAGAGACGGCTGTTACTATACAAAACATATATGTGACATGTGATATGACGCCTGAAAGCCACAATAGTGCAATCAGAGAGCGCCACAGAGACAGCGTGGTAATCAAATCTTCTAACTCGTTTATTTTTAATCTTCTTTCTCGGAAAATTACCTTCAGTAAGAAATCAGTACGAAATACTGGATAGTTTTTTTTTAATTCGCTTAGTGGGGTGTGGAGTACAACAGGGTCCACTCGGCACGGCCGCCACTGATTGGCCTATTGTAGCCTGCCCCGGGTGATTATGATGATGGAGAATTTGGTGGAATGAAGATTGGCAGGGGAAACAGAAGTACTCTGAGAAAACCCGCCCCAGCGCCAATTTTTCCACTACAAATCCCACTTGACCAGACCCGGGATCGAACCCGAGCCGCCGCGGTGGGAAGCCAGCGACTAAGCGCTTGAGCTATGGCGCGGCCTACTGGATAGTTAGTTTCTTTATGATAAAAGTATTACTTTTATCCACAGTTATATCCTAAAGCGAAGTCTGATAAATTTGTGAGCTCTTAGTCAGGATATTTTTAAAATGGGAATCAAATAGTTCCCAATAAACGACTAATGAATGTATCACAGATGCCACGCTCAAAGTTAATTAATTAACCATCAAAAGTTATTTAACACGACAAAATTGAATTCCATTCAAATTAGAAAACAATATTAATTAACATCTATAATTATAAAAAACACGAAATAATATGGAATTTAGATTTACGGGTCTATTACACGAAATAATTTTCCATTGAAATAAATGGAATGTTATAAATAAAGAGTGCGTAATATAGGACGCCGTGGTTTCGCTACATGCAGGAAGAGTAGTAACCACGGACGTTTATTTACGTCTGTCAGCCAGTGATGTGGCTTGTCATTTAGGGTGATCGTGTTGTCCGTCATTAAAAGCCCGTGCACAGTTACAACCGAATTTACTGCACAAGGAAAACCCATTCTCACAGAAATCACTTTATCTTAAAATTATCAAAAGCTGTAGGTAGCTGTAGGGCTGAAACATGGACACTTAGGGCAGTANTAGGTAGGTTGAAGTAAAGAATTTCGCATCTTCTCGGGAGTCGTGATAATGCGGTTACGGCTGGGCGGCCAAGGAGTCGGATTTCGCTTCCCAGGAGAAAAGAAGAGATTTCTGTCATCTCCACAGAACTCTGATCAGCTCTGGGAATCACTCAGCCTACTGTTAAATGAGTAACGGGCGTTCTTTCGCTGTAATTATGCGGCCGGAGCGAGAAGTTGGCCACTCACCTCCATCTAGCGCCGAGATTATGAATGTGTGGAGGCACTTCTTCAGTCCTCCAGTCTTCATAACTTCGTGGTACTTATTAAGGACAGGGAAATACATTTTTTTGTATCCTATTCTGGAATACAGACTCGTTCCTACACGGTGACTTTGTAAACAGCGGATGTTGCTAGGTAACGCCCGAAACATACACGCACGTAACAATAGAAGAACGATGTTTTCTGTGGTCTGCGCCGCGGCCGTTTCTGGGAAACAGCTCAGTAAATACCTTACCGCGGCAACGAACAAGAACGCAACAATAGAAGAATAGTGTTTTCTATGTGGTCAGTGCCGAGATGGTATAAGCTAGGGATAAAGTTATGTGAGTATTTGCAGTTCAGTTGTACTCTGCAAGGGAGACTGAGAAGAAATAACACTGTAGTCAGCTGAGAGTTCAAATTCCGGCTGTGAAGAGAAGACATTATTTGTACTGTAGTTACAGTGAGATGGTTATAGTTACAGCATTAAAACCCGTTGCCAGGATACGACTAATGAAGACTGAGAAATCTTAGAGTGTGCTGGTGATTTGCAAAGTGTGTAGATCAACGATTGCCTTGTAATTTCAAGTTGTGTCAATAAATCCAATAGCCAATCCATACCCCGTCTATAGTCAGACACATAAACCGTGACACTATCTTGACTGAACAGCTGAAAGCAGCTCATGAAATCGAAACCCCTATCTTTGTTAGACATTGAAGGGGTCTATAAATTTACCTATGGTTTTGCAGGGCCAAAAGATGCGAAAAGTCGTTAAGGGAAGAACAGAGAGATTATATTAAAATTGAATTCAACGTAATACTTTTTATACTGGATATTAAAGTAGACTAGTTCAAAAATAAATTGTTTTCACCCTCACGAGACAATTGAGAGACAATGGAGACATTACTGTGCTAAACTGACTCCGATTAGATAAAACGACTTGCTCAAATGGTTAACATAGGCTCTGAGATACAGAGGCAAGAACGATTGAGTTGAAGAAAAGGTTAGGCTATATGCTATAAAAAGACCTATTAGGTTTTATATGTCAATTTTGGGGAGGGGTGAAAGGAAATGGTGCTCAGGGCATGGAGAAGTAAAGCAGCGTCGAACAAAATGCTCCTATCTGGGAGTTCTTCAGCTCCTCCTAATATGAGAACCAACACTCTATCCCCTCGTGTCGTGTCGTCCGATCACCATCAAAATCATCAGCATTCCTCCTTCCTATCTCCAGTAAGCCCCGCCTCCACCGCTGCCACGGTAGGTTCTCTGATAGTCATTTGTCTTCCTTCAGCTTCTGCCATTGATTCTCCATTCAAACTTCCGTTGCAGAGCAGGAATTGAAAAGGAGGGAATCCATTGGCCCCAGTGCAACATTTTATTCCACGAAGCACAGTTAACCTTAGTCTCCTTTCTTCCCTAAGTACAGGGGTGTCAATTTGGAGTGTTGCGCCCTCAGAAATTATTTTGCAATCATCGGTCAATACACAAAGTCATTTCCAATAGCATTATTGTCGCGTTTGAGTTTCTTACTCTTGTGGCTATGAAGAATAAAGTTTTCTGGGCTGTGATGCCATGTAATCTCGTAGATTTTTACCGAAGTTTCGGAAGAATATTCTGTGGCCATTCTCAGGATAGAACAGTAATCTCGATAGCGTATTGAGGCAGTAGGTCTACATCCACCAGTGCACCCGTTATTCCTCCTGCACACACCATGTTGTGGGATACAACCTCGGGCTCTCAGAGCAAGGTGGACACTCGCTATGTTTTGACTGGATTTAAGTGATTCCACAAAATTGCGTGACGAATGCGTTACATATGAATCTTATGGCATAAAAATATATCTGTCGAAATTATTGGAAATATACTTTACAGCATATTCGAAATATTCTGTCATATGGAAGCGAAATGAGGGAGTTTGCTGATAAATTGGGGAGTAAAATGAAGATTGTAAAATTAGATTATTTAAGAAGATGGTTTCAGGTGACAACAGGAAATAGAGTGAGAAGTGAAATATTTTGGGAAGAAATGTATGTTATTTCATCAGGGTAGGAAACCTGAAAAATATAGCACTCGGATTGTATGACCCTATTGATAGTATTAAGGACTGGTTATCGAAATATTCATTGTCCTGGTCACCACGAAGAAGAAGAATAAGAAGATAAAGAGGAGGAGGAAAATAAGAAGAAGAAGAAGAGAGGTGTATGTGTAAGTAGAAAACACATGTTAATACAGTTACACAACATTAAGCGAAGGCAGCTAACTCGCGAAGAGATGATGCCAAGAAATAAACGAAGTGTGTTAGGCTTGTGTTTCCTGTGTCACACAAATTTCTGACTGCTGCATATAATGCCTGGGTCTGATCACGTAAAATTTCTGGACCTTCCCTTTTCAGCAGGAAGCACAACAATGCTTCAGAAATTCTCTGCACTGAAGTTTTTTCTTTTAACCTCACAAGCACCGCAATGTAGCATTCATAATTCACGTACTGACACGCCTGTATTTTCTGCCACAAAGTGGCAACACGATTTTCGATTTTTCTTCCCCTTCTTCTTGAATTTCTCTGTGTTCCCAAGTGAACGCGCGGCATTTTCACGGCGCGGGAAGGGAAGGCCCATTAAGTGTGGAAGTAATGATGGCAACAGACTGCGATAAAACGTTTTCTTCCGCCGTCACCTCCCTCAGGCCTAGTCTGTATCGTCAGAAAGCAGATTCAGAGTGTTCCTAGTTCTTGTTCACTACAAAGCACGAAGGCCCCTCCAGATCTTAACTGTGGACACTTTTCTGCGGGGAGTAGGGATAGATCAGTCTGTATAACCATGGACTACGGACTGAACGGCCAAGGCACGATTCCCGGCAGGGGAAAGTATTTTGTCTTCTCCAAAACATCCAGGCCGACTGAGTCCCACGGAACCTCCCATTCAATGGCTAACGGGGACGATTTCTCCGGGGATAAAGCGGCCGATGCGTGAAGCTGAATGATCATCGGTATGTAATGCAAAGGTCAAGAAAGGTAGAGGTATAATTCCACTCCCCTATATGTTCTCATGGCGTAGTACTTAAATAATTAAGCACAGGGACAATTTTACTTTACTTTCTTGTGGTTTAGTTTTGCGTTGCTGTTAACATGTCAGATAATAACGTTCAATAGAATGATTAGTGAATAATGAATTACAAAAGGAAACGCAAGGAAATCGCCATGGCCTAATTCAGGTACTGTTCCCGTATTTGTCTGGAGGAACTGAAGAAAGCCTCAAATAACTTCAGCAACGATAGCCGCTATCCCTTACGAGGTCTGAACCAAGCACCTCCCGCATACAATCTAGCACATTATCACTAAATCAGCCTGCCCGATGCTATGGAATCGCGAGTCATAGGCTAGAGTACACAGTTGCTAAGAGAGATGCGGAAAAATTCGTGCAACATTCAGTATGTAAAATTCATTAAAATATAACTTATACGGAATTAACGATAAGGCGTCGTTAAATAAACATACACCTTGGAAGATTTGTGTATAGAGATTACTGTAATCTGAGATATGACGTCGTGTAGTCTGGTAGATCGTTACCGACGTTTCGGTATGACGTTCTGCCTATATATTCTCTGAAACTTTGGTGACGATATATCAGACTGGACGGTATCACATCTTAGAAGGAAAATATTGGAGGAGAGTACTGAATTATGAAACATGCTGTTCCTGTCCTGTCATATTCGTACACCTGAATATTGTGCAGCCTGTGCTCTGCAGGGGTCTCGGATACTAGGAGATTGTTTCACATGCGGGGCTTCCAGCGTAAGGGAAGGGAAGTATGTAGGTACTTCGTAGACGCGAAACGGATAAATCCTACAGAACTACACTTATAGCGCTATATTACGGTACAAGCTGACTGTGTGTGTCTTCTGGATATGTCAAGCGGCACGGGAAGAAGGGAGAGTATGTTGAGGAAATGGCTCGTAAGGTTTTGGAGGGTCTGCACTTCTCATGGAGCAGTCTCCGATCCGTCGTCCAAAAAGAAATTCGATGCCTGCAGAAGCATGAACGAAGACAAGACACCAAAGTTACTTCCCCTGACTTTATAATCCTTAAAAATAATTGGAGAAAAGGCGTCTGTACCTTCTTTTAGTTCGATTTACATCTTGGATTCCTTATTTAGCGAACGTAAAAGGTAAATGTATCGCTGTAAGCAGATCGTGAAGGCCCACAGGGCCGTGAGACGTCGAGGCTCCCACATTTTCTAGACAATCGACTCATAGATGGCGGTGAGGTAGTCAGCCTTACGCGCCGGCCGCCCTTCTCTCCCAGGAAGAGTACTGTTAGAGGCAGAGTCAACCCCGGGTACAGAGTGTGGCTGGGAGGATTAGGTCAACTGAAAAATCTAAAGATCTCGTCGGGAATCGAACCCCCGACTTCCGGCTCGTAGCATAATGCCTCAACCAACTACGCTACCGCGTGTCCCCCATTACCGAAGCTATGAATAAATACTTTTAAAAGAAAAACTGCATAATAATTTTCTTCGTAATTTATTATTTTCGTTGTGGGGAAAAACGATATATTGTATTTACTGATCACTTTGAGAGGTTTCGGTAAACAAACTGAGGAGATATCCGAGCGATATCTTTTGTAGTTAATTATTACAGTAAGTAAGAAAAAGTAAGCCGGTCACTGTAGCCGAGCGGCCTAAGGCATGCACTGTCTTCGCTCTCTTGGAAACTGGGATCGTGGGTTCGAATCCCACTCAGGGCATGGATATTTAGTTTGTGTGTCTTTCTGTGTTTGTGTACAGGTAGAGGCCTTGCGATGAGCTGATCACCCGCCCAAGGAGTCCTACCGAATGTGTAAGATCAAGAAAAACCGAAGTGAACGGAGAGGTTCATGGAGGTAGGTCTAGGCCCACTGGGGCTGTAGTGCCAAGGGGGGAAAAAAAGAAAAAGTAAAGGTATCCCTGTAACGGGCCGTGGAGGCCCATAGGATTGTGAGATGTTGAGGTTCTCACATTTTGTAGACAATCGGCTCATAGATGGCGGTAAGGTTGTCAGTCTCACGCGCCGGCGGCCCTTAACCCCCAAGAACATTCCCAGAATATTTGTGGTACTTTTGTCTGTTAGAGGCTGAGTCGAGCCCAGGGCCATAGTTCGGCTGGAAGGATTAGGTAAATTGAAAAAAAATCCAATGAGCTCATCGGGGTTTGAACCCGCGACCTTCCGGCTTGTACCATAGTGCCTCAACCAATTACGCTACCGCGTGCCCCTGTTAATTATTACAGTACTGGAATAAAACACGTTGAAACTTAAACATGGAAATGTTGCGGCATTAACAACAAAATCCCATTTAGAAGTTTTCTGTGAGCATGAATCATATTTCATTGAAGGTTCCTGACATCAGTAACCTGGTTAAGTACTTGGAATATTACTACATTTGTACTATAATAATCGACTTGAAAGAATTACAAAATTCACTAAGCAATGCTGATATCTAGAAATATTCTGTGAAATTTGGTTGGGGGGGGGATGAGGGTACTTCAGTACCGAATCAAGTATGTCCTCCATCGGCCGTGTCTTGCTGTCATATTCTGTTCCTATTTGCAAGGACTACGGTCATTACTTAAATAACGAAGAACTAGAGATCGCTGAACTTTCAAGTGCACCTACATAATCTTCCTTGCTTTCAGCGCTAAGAGTCGAATGATTTAAAGTAGTGTTTCACAACCGCCGGGCCGCCACCTGGTACCGGGCCCTCATCTTATAGAAAAAAAGAATGTACCGGGCCTCGGACTCGCAAAGGTTGAGAACCACTGCTTTACAGCAAATAAATTAACAAAAGCAAACAATGAATCCTAGAAATAAGATTACAGTTTTCCAGGATATGATGCCTTATATTCTGATACAGAAGCATTTGCTGCCTCCATCTTCAGAGCAGAAGACTTTTCGGTACCTTCCTACCAGGCTACACGACATTACGTCCTACAAGATTTCACGCTGCTCTAAGAACTTCAAATTCTAAACGTAAAGCTGTTACTTGCAAATATAGTACAGGATGTTCAATCAAGGAGGAAATCTCCCAACGCCGTTGACCAGACACAATATTCTTCACAGACTGTTGCTGTAACTGTAACTGTAACTGTAACGGCGCGCGTTTATCAGCGCTAATGACTCATTCTGCTGTCAGCAGTTACAGCAGCAATCTGGAATGTTGGGCCGGGTCAGTGATGTTGCGAAATTTCGTCCTTACCTGAACATGCTGTATATTTGAAACCAAAATACGGCACATTAGCTTTCATTCCTAACCAGAATTTATTTGCAGTCGTAATATGAGTACGTCAGAATTTTAACAACTATATAATTAAAAACATAAAAAAGTAAAGGTAAAGCTATCCCTGTACCAGGCCGTAAAGTCCCATAGGGTTTTGAGACGTTGAGGGTCCCACATTTTCTAGACAATCGGCTCAAAGATGGCGGTAAGGTTGTTAGCCTTATGTGCCAGCCGCGCTTTACTCCCCAGAAAAATTATTCAGTTAATTCCTGGTACTCATTTCTGTTGGAGGCTGAGTGAACCCAAGGGCCATAGTGGGGCTGAAAGGATTAGGTCAATTGAAAAAATCCAACGACCTGACCGGGACTTGAACCCGCGATCTTCCGGCTTGTAGCATATCCCCTCAACCAACTGCTCTACCGCGTGCTCCTCTTAATTATTAAAGTACTGGAATAAAGCCCGTAGACGGTAGGACACCTTGGACGAGTGATCAGCTTATCGTAAGGCGTCTAACTAAACACAGGACAGCACAAACACAAAATAAACACATACACCAAACATCCATGCCCTGAGTGGGATTCGAACCCACGATCCCGGCTTCCGAGCGCGCGAAGACAGTATATGCCTTAGACCGCTCGGCTACCGTGACCGGCAATGTATAATGCACAATTTAAATACCGATTCCAGAACTATTTAAAGAAGTGAAGATATAATTAGCCGAGCAGTGTTCAAGTTTGTATGAACACCGGTGTATATTACCTGAGTTGAAGTCCTGTACTGGGTGTTGGTGGTCACTCATCCCCGTGCTCTTGTTGCTGTAGAAAGTCGTGTCCTCATTTTCCAGAATCTCTTCCTTGATGGGCAGAAAATGGTGTCGGTGGTGGTGGTCGTCAGGAAGCTGGTCGCCGGGTGCGGGTTGTTGGGGGTGGGTATGAGGGTGGTAGCCATCCAGCCCGGGGCCTCCGTGCAAACTTCCGTGCTCCGTGTCGCTACAGCTGTCGTTGAGGAAAGAAGCAGCCCCTGGCGGACCTGCGGAGGGACGAAACTTGCTGTAAGAGCCCGAGTTTCCTAAGCCAGAATTAAATGTCTGTAAGGAGGGTACGTTGGTCCCCGCCATAGCTCAAGCGGTTAGTCACTGGCTTTCCACCTCGGCGGCCAGGGTTCGATCCCGGGTCTGGTCAAGTGGGATTTGTGGAGGACAAAATGGCGCCGGGGCAGGTTTTCTTCAAGTACTTCGGTTTCCCTTGCCAATCTTCATTCCACCAATTGCTCCGCAATCACCCTCACCTATCATCTGGGTCTGGTGCAATAGGCCAGATGTGGCCGCAGTACAAGGGACTTAGTCCCACCCCACTAGCAATAAAAAAAGGAGGGCACTGGGCCATGACATAGTTCAGGCGATGTTTTCCCAACACGGCGGCAGAGGTTCGATCCCCGGTCAGTTCAGGTGGAGTTTTTGGTGGATGAAGTCCTATTAGGACAGGTTTCTTCAGGGTACTTCGGTATCCCATGTCGTCATTCCACAGGCAACTCCAATTTCATCATCATCATCATCATGCGGTGCTGGTACAACAGCAGCGGCCGGTGTAAAGAGCAGAATTGGTATCACCCCCTCCCCCCAAACACGCAAATTAAAAAGTAGGGCCGTCTTTGCATCATTTCACGAGTCTTCACTCCGTATTTCCTGTCGGTTTTGTGAAAAAAAAATGTTCGATCGGTCTTATTGGCCAGGAGCGCCAGGAGTCAGGAGCGGATTTCATTCGAACTACCTTCACATTCTAGCAAATTTTGTGGACTTTTTTTTTTCAATCCTTAAGCTATATTCCAGTCAGTTGGTTCCATAATGTCAATAGTTCTAAGAATATTTGTAATACAAGTATTAAGTTATCATGCTACAAGCCTGAAGGTCGCAATTCGATTCTCAATGAGGTTATATGATTTTTCAATTGACCTAAACCTTCCAGCCGCACTATAGCCCTGGGTTAGACTCAGCCTCTAACAGAAATGAGTACCAGGAATCTTCCTGGGACTAAAAGGGCGGCCGGCGCATAGGGCTGACGACCTCACCATCTGTGAGCCGATTGTCTAGAAAATGTGGGAGCCTCGATGTCTCACAACCCTATGGACCTCCATGGCCTGTTAAAAGGGATATCTTTATCTTTTTAAGTTAATAATCTTATTTATTTTTTATACTCATGGTCATATAACAGTATATACGAGCATATTGATGTGTTCCGACATGTTATAATGACCTGTAAAATGCAAACAAAGTATTTACTTCTTATGAGGGGAAAATGGAAGTAGCCTGGTCTAAGTTAATGAACTCTCTCCTTTAAAACAGCGATTTCTTTGATGTTTTGGAGACAGTTCAATGCATACGTATAGAGGGAGAGAAAACTGTTCGTGTTTATCCTTTAAACCTCAGTGGTTACTATATGTACCACATTCTAAAACTCTACATTCTGCCACCAGAATGTGTTTATGTGATTCGTACGGGTATCCAGTAAGCAGCCGTTAATATATACCAACCATTTTATCTCTGTAGTGGGGAGATAATAATTTCCCGTGAGTTACGAACTGAATCATTATATAAGATTTGAGGCTTTCACGGCGGTGACTATGAAGAAAGCAGTCTTCTGGGATTTGGCACCGTGTATATGTGGTTTTAACCGACGTTTCGGAGGAACGTATCGCCTCCATCTTCAGGGTAGAAGAAAAAATATAAGAAATCTGCAAAGCGAAGAGACCGTGAGAACCGGTAAAAGCAGACTGCTTTTTTTTTTTGCTTAGAATGACCGATACTATAACCTCCAAGAATATTAATCTTTCCTCCTGGGACTCTGTATATGTATGTGTGTATGTATGTAGGGCCTTTGTATGTGTTTATGTATCAGGGTTCATTTAGCATATGTTCATCTGTCTGAGTGCTTCGGTTTCCCCTGCCACTTTTCATTCAGCCAAATTCTCCACATTCATTAATCATCCTATCATAGATGCTATGTAGTCCTGATAATGAGAACGTCGTTAAATAACCAATTAAAATAAATCTGTGCCTGTTTTCACTAAACAGAATGAAAGAGATTAGTGAAGGCAGTGGCGCCAGTTAGACCACACTGAAACAGATTGAACACATCATGCGAGCAGGTAGTTTATTCGGAACTACTCCCAGTCCAGAAGAAGGCTCTTAACGTTTCCAATTCACGTAGAACAGGAAATGCATTGACAGAGTTCACTTCGGGTTTTATGAAGCCTATATCTTACTGAATTCTTGGAAAGAACTTCCTTTTTACGACGTCAGTTCCGTCTCTGGTCTTTTGTTGTAGAGAAGTTTTGTTCGGCCATTTTGTGAGAGGAGTGTGGTCCGTTGCTAAGAAGAGAAGCACGGCCGGAAATCTTCGGAACAGAAAGAGAAAGAGAGAGTTGTGATGCGGGTTGCCTGCAGTGTATGCCGTACGTAAGGTCTAGTAAGGCAGGCGGGATCATGTTGGAAGTGGAGCAGAGGCAGGAAGCTGTACTGGAGTAGAGATGAGATGAACGGGCGAGCTGCAAGATTCGGTTGCTGTGGTAACGCTCCACCCATCTTTCCCCAGCATCCCAACCTTCCTGCTGCTATCCTGACTTCCTGACTGCTAACCTTACACTACAGGGTGTTTGGCAAAGAGACCTAACCATTTGTCTCACTGACTCCTTGGAGCGGAATCTTTCTTCACTCTAGCTGTACTAGGTGCGCAACTGGTCAAGAAATTCCCCGCACTTTATGGAATCCAAAGCTTTATTCAATATTCGTAACAGCTCTTCAATTATTTGCATCCTGAGCCAGATGAATCCTGTTCACATCTTCCTACCCTAACAGAAAGATCACAAATAAGAATCGGACTTCATCTTGTGTCTAACTCCAAACTCGCGGACCCATCTATGAACTCGAGTCATTTTAGACAAAGAAATGTAACAGATGCTCTAAATTGTCACTTGGACTCTATTTATATGTGAGTCGGGTAGCTTAGTCGACATAGCAACTGGATTAAGAACTGGACGACAGAGAATTATACTTTCGATTCCCGGTAGGAGCACGAGACGGCTCTGGAGCCGACCCATGTTCCTATAAAAAGGGTAAAGGGGGCTGTTTCGTCGGGGGTAAAATAGCTGGGCGGCGTGAAGCTGACCACTGCTTCCAACTGTTGTCAAGGAGCTGTGCCTTGACGCCCCACATGTCCTCTTGGTGTGGTGCATAATTAAGCACAGAGATAGCTTGACCTTTGGTTAATTGTTGTTTTGTAGGCCTATTCCATCCATTCTGACCTCTGCTAGACATTTGTTGACATCAATAACACAGGATAAGCCTTCCCAGTCCTGTGGCACTTAATTTTTTTAAATGATATTAAACTTACCATGAAATTTCATACATATGATGCGTCCTGACATTGTGTGCTTATGGATAACATTCCTCGCGTTCGCAGTTACACGCTGCCCCCATCTTTGGGCTCGAAGTGAAGAGGTTTATATCAATATTCGTATGAATATATGATTTGACCCAACAGACCCATGCCAGAAGAGTGGGGGCTGATGCTCAGGCCGGGTCAAAAGACAGAGCCGTCAGGGAAAGATAAACAAAAAGTTCTGGGAAGAATTGATCGCCTACATGATTTTTGATACGACCAGGAACGCATAGAAAACCAAAGAATTATGGGGTATACAGAGAAACAGACAACAAGATGATTTCATAAGCCTCAGAAATTAGCTGGGGACACAGAAAGCAAGTCCATTATATACGCCTCTTTTATTTCTTCAAAACAAGGAAAGCAAGCCAAAACGGCCATTCTAATGTCAACCGAGCCTATATACACTCACTCATCCTACCCACTGCGATCCTGAAGATGGAAGATGGATCCTAAACGTCGGAAAAAGTTCCCACACATACACAGTGCCAAAATATCAGGCAGAGTTAACGTCAATAAGGGACCATTCTGGAAGCCCAAAATTGTTAATTTGATATTTGCTTTTGTCAAATATACACGCAGAGTAATGCGACTTACTATGTTAATGGTCTGTAGTTGTGAAGCTTACATCTTTGTACTTCATATTTCACTTGTTTTTTTTTATTGAGTTAAGCATTATGTACCGAGTACAGTCTTAAATTCTTTATATGTTCCAATATGCAGAAGATAACCTCCTTTATAAACCTCTTTCATTCCGTAATTCAACGATCAGTAAATTTCCATCTCTATATAATTTTTTCTTCATTTTACTTCCCACCATTGCCACTAGATAGCACACAGGGTCCTTAACGGAACTGCCAATTCAATGCTTGGCATGCAGCAAGCAAAATAGGACGCTGAGGGGGTCGGACTTGCCTACGGACAGAGGAATCTGTCGCACTTATGGATTATTGAACAAGAATGGTTGGAATGGAGAAGTTTTCCCTGTCTAAGCCTCGGTCTTAGAAGAGGAGGCGTTGTATAATGTGCATTGAGGATGGAGAGGCTAGGATCCCTAGGCTGATGTCCACTGTTGGAATCAGACGGCTGGAAGAGACGGGATTCCATTCGGATTCCATCGCTCACTTAGTTCCGTGCAACAGTGACATATGCGGAAATGTTGGGTTCCTATGAACGGACATGTTACTCTGTTGCATGTTTCACGTTAGAACCAAGTCTGCGATAAGGACTGGTCCATGATTGCCACTCAGTCTGCTGAACCTAATTCGGGGGTTTCAGTTTCGGTCGCGATACAAAGGATTTACATGATTTTCTCGGCGCTTCCTGGCAAATTTTCCGAAACCCTATCGTCGTCTTGCAGTGATCGGGTCTCATTCTACTGAGAGATATTTTCTTGCCTCATATTTTCAAATTACGGAATTGGCCTTATGGTTATCATTCAAAATTAGTATTAGAGGTTTCAGTTAGCCTTATGTAGAGTGTCTCATAATTATTATTCCAAGAGAAAGCATTTATTACTGACAAATCACTGCAGATGAAGCTGTGAGAAACGCAAAAGAATATTACAAATGTCAGAATGTTAACCAATAGAATTAAAAATCCAACCCATTGTATTATATATTACACAGCTGGACCTACTCGGATTACATTTAGCCTATGTGCATGATACATTAATTTTAAATAGAAACAAGACCTGAAGATGGCACACATATGCCAAAACATGCCTTCCTATATATCCGTCTGTTTGAAACAGTGTTTTGTTGACAGTAATAAAACATTGTGACACAAAAGCCAGAAGAGACAGCCGTTGCTATGTTACGGTATATTAAATACGCAATGACGTCACTAAGCAAAGAGCCGTTGGTAGTCACCGGCCGATCGTTTGCAACGCCTACATATGTTCCGTGAACACAACTTAACATGGCGTTTGTAGATTAGTAAATGGAGCAGGATGGGAACTTGACAGGAATGTGGATTATCACAGACGATGCTGTGCTCCATGTTAGTGGGAGTATGAATAATCACATTGTATTACACTTACTTACTTACTTACTTATGGAGTTGAGCCCTTCTTGAGGAGCCGCCAATTCTGCAGCTACTCAAGAACTTCCCAGCATTTTATGGAACCCGAAGGTTCATTGTATTACACAGGCACTTAAACTCGAGTTACACATTCTTACCCTTCGAGTTCATCTCGGGATTTGCTTTTCTATTGGTTTGTGATCGCCATGTTTTTCTATGCACTGCTGCCAACCGCAGCAAAGAGAGGTTTCTCTTTCCCTTCATGACTCCCCAGCCCTTCTTCTAACGGTTTGGATGAATTATTATGGGACATGCGGTCTTTTGTGTTACTAACGTTTCAGATGAGCACACTACCTATATCTTATAACTTTAATATGGAGGTATTACGGTTCTTCGAAAAGTTTGTAACCATCTATTAGACTACACAATGTCAAGAAAAACATCAAAATCAATCTTCAGAAGCTTAAAAATTTTAAATCAAAAGCATTGCATTTGAGATATTTCGCAATATCTGTAAATTGCAACATACTTTGAAACTGTTTTCGGGCCTCATTGGGTACGCAGACTCTGGTGTAACCCCTTAGGTAACGTTATAAACCAACAGTGAGTTATAATGTAAATTCTAGTTTAGTTAATAAGAATAAAGATTGATAGCTTACTTTGGTCTTCTTCTTTAACCTTCGTCTTTTGGTTCTTTTCATCACTACATTCATCGTCTTTGTTGCTTTTGTTCTCTTGTCTTGCTTTCTTCTGTATCTTCTTCATCTTGGCTCTTTGATTTTGGAACCACACCTAGTGAATATCAAGGAGAATATAAGTAAAGAAATGTCACGCTCTGTTTGTTATTTTGCGATGCCTCTGTGCCTGACAACGTATATGCACTCCAATGAACACATGCCACTCAGCATACTAGATGTGACCAAAAAATCCAATTAAAAAGCGACACATGGAAACTTATCGGCATTCAATAATTCGTTGTTCAATTTACGGTTACTGTACCTGCATCAAAAGTGACATATCTTCACGAACGCTTAGATATTCTTAACAATACTTGATAGGACATAACATTAATAGTACGTTCTTCTTGGTTGTAACACTGTATAGTTCGAAGAGAATCCGACATTTCGGAAAAAAAATATATGGCATCTATTTTCAGGGTCGAAAAATATTCAAAGCCAGAAACTAGTCGAAACACGCGGCAAGCTTAGCTTGTTTCTCTTGCTCTTCGACAGTGAAGATGGAGGCAATATGTTACTCCAAAACTTCGGCTCCTCTCTCTGAACTACACGGTGTTACACCACAGAAGATCGCAGGTTTCATAGTAATCGCAGCGAGAACATAAAATCCAAATAGTATGGTATACACTTTCACGCGTATGAGTGACTCTCGACGGTGTTTTGGATTGGAGATTAGATTTATTGATCACTTTAGCGCACAACTCGTAACTACACTTAATTATAGCGCAATCGCTTATTCCCATATTTTACAAATCACTAGAGCACACGATAAGTCTTTGCCAGTCCGCAGTGTCTTCACTAGTAGTTGCCTGGTAACGGCTTCTAACAATGGCTATTCCCCTGCTTTTGTGCTGAAGTAATTTCCGAATGGCGGCTCCCTTCTGTCTCAGTGCTTCGACTGACTACCTACCAGGCTAGCGGTCATTTCGCACAAACCTCCTAGCCTTCTCTTCACAGGTTGACTTTAATCTGAGCACTTTTGCAGCTAACAGGTTCCCCCAAACCGTCTCAGCTATAACATCTTGGCACGGACCACATAGATAACACCGCTCCTCTGTTGTTTGTTAAGTTGCATTTCAGTTGTCGCTTATCAAGTATTTGCTGCCTAGCAACGGATGTTTTCCCCTTGTTTGTTTTGCGGTCGTTGCCCATAAACTGGTCCGTACGCAGCAGTACTTTAAATCGTTCACATAACCTGTCGTTTCAGAGTTTCTTCTTCACAATGAATGAACTACGAAACTTCGATATTCAGAAATGTGGAAACAAATACGGACGAGGACGTTCCTGAGTCAGAGAATTCCTAGTATCCATTTATTTTCTATTCGTAAGGATTTACTTCTTATCATTACGTTGTATCAGACAAGTATGTAATTTTCGAATGACTCTACATCTGACGAGTACTATTTTCTGGGATCTAATGCCGTGGAGTCTGGTAAGTGTTTACCGACCTTTCGCACGTATAAGCAAAATAGCCAGCAGATCAAGCCTTCCTCAGATAACTAGCAACAATTACTCTATTTTATTACTTTTAGAAACAGGTCTAACTACTTTAAATTTCACGAAATTCTACATATTTATGAGCATTTATGAGCAATTTCTTTCGCTCCGTGTGGAATAATAAAAATATATGAAATTGTTATGCATACATAGTCAGTTTCTGTTACTTCGTGACAACTTAAAGAATTATGAGAGGTAAATCTGTAAAAATTCTGATCTAAAATTTGTAACGTTACGTTAATACGGTTATTGTGTTTCTGGACATTATTCGTCGTCCTCTTTCTATTTAAAACACACAACATTTCATCTGTGTTAACTCTCGCAGATGGTTTACGCTATTCTTATTATATATATATCCTATCTTGCGACGGTGCTGGTGTTTATACTCGTAGATAGGAACTAGCTCTGCCAACTGGGCCCAACCTGAAGACGGAGACAGAATCCAGCCTCTGAAATGTTGTGCTTAAAATAAAAGCTTATCGATTGATAATGTCCAGAAACACAGTAATTTCACAAATTCAGATATTTAGTTGTCCGTCCAGTGTGAGGCGCCCTTTCATTTATACCAATCGGATCAGTCAGTCAATCAGTCAGTTAGTCAGAATTTTCATTAGTATTTAAGCTTAAACCGCAATTTAATATAGAACCCATTGCACTTTGATCTGCCGTCCTTGTGAGGAACCGGTGTGTGCAATATTGGTTCATGGAATGTTTGATCTGGCTGCAGTAAGCAATGGACCGCCACGTACGTTGTATGATGTGACCCACGTATATCCCGCGGCTGTCTCCAGAGCATTTCCTCCTCTCTGCGCAGTACCTTCTGTGCCAAATACAAAACAGCAACCCTACCTGCCTAATGCTTTAGTATCGGGCAGTTTCTAGGTTACGTGCGGTCTTAAGTATGCCTGCGGTAAACCCTTGCCCAACTCCAGCGTTAGCCTTCTCGACAACGGCGCGTCTGGTAAATCCGCATTGATGGAAATTAATGTCTTATGATTAAATTTGGATATGTGAAAGCGGTAAAGTAACATCTCCATTAATAGCTAGATTATACTTGTTATTGCTAGTGGGGTGGGACTAAGTCCCTTGTACTGCGGCCACTTCTGGCCTATTCTACCAGCCCCAGATGACAGGTGAGGGTGATTGTGGTGCAATTGGTGGAATGAAGATTGGCAGGGGAAACCGAAGTACTCGGAGAAAACCTGCCCCAAAGCCACTTAGTCCACCACAAATCCCACTTGACCAGACCCGGGATCGAACCCGGGCCGCCGCGGTGGGAAGCCAGCTACTAACCGCTTGAGCTATAGCGCGGCCTTAATAGCTAGATACATATATATTATACACACAGAGATATAAGTCTCTTCTTACTCAATTCTTGAAACAAAACCATAAATTATGAACGAAATGCATTTACGTGTCTTCAGTACAAATAGACAAGGATTTATTGAATGAAACATCTTATTTTATATTGTACATGTGAATGATGAATAACATATTATCTTGATTATTCGTTTGGAAGCTGAGGGCTTTATTATCTGAGACAAAGGACGTTTCGGCAGAGAGCAAGAGACAGAGAGGTGTGGAAGTTTTGGAGAGACAAAAGTGTCAGAGAAGTCGTGTTGGTGTGTACAATAGGCATACCAAGACCTTTTTGGCAGAGTGCACATGTTCAATTTTTCTTCATTTGAAAATCAGATCTTCCCATTATTTTTTTATGTATGAGCAAATCCATTAACGTTGGAGAACTGGTTGTGCAGTTAGTGTAATTATGTGTTTTGTGCTCTTAGAATATAATCACTAAGGTTTAACTTCGTGAAATTTGACATTGTCCATCGTCTTGTATTTTATTTAAAACACAAAATATTTCGGAGACTGGATTCTGTCTTCGTGTTCAGGTGAAACCCACTCAATTGGGCTAAATCGATAGAGCTAGTTCCTATCTCTCAGACTACAAAATGTTGTGTGTCTTAAATAAAAAAAAACAGTACAATGGATAATATTGAGGAACACAGTAATTTTAAGACCCTTGCAGTATTTATAAAGTCGAGAAAAAAATAATAGATTCTAAAACTATAATGGGGAATAGTTCAAGTTATGGGGCAAATGCATCGCCATAACGTACCGTTTAATGACAGTTTGCGTTTCTTGAAATATGACTTTGAAGTCGACATACAGGGTCACATTTATTGCGTGTATTTGCATTGTTCACACAGGTTATATGATCACCGGTTTGCTATTTGCTGATTATCATTATAGGCGTAAAAATAGATTGCTTTGGCAACTGTAATCTTCTCAGAACAGTGCTACTGCTGTTGAAAATTTGTGCCCAAATATAGAAATATTTCTGATCGAATTGGCTTGATGTTGTTACATAGAGATGTGAGAAACCTCTAATTCTTCCTGTATGAGGCCCACGGTGTCTGTCAAACAACATCACGAGCATACCTCTCTCTCCCTCTCTCTGTCTCTGTCTCTCCCCTGTAGCGTTCCGATAGTCAATAATAAGCCTGGCCACACGTCAGTGCACGCCAGGTCACAGTTAGCAGCAAGCAGGCACGCATACCAGCAGAACGATTGCTGCGAAACTTCACGCGAATTGCCGCTGCGCTCGGAAAATCCACACGCGACATGCTGCTGTAATACGTCATGATGCTGTCCAAGTGCCAGGTTCATATGAGCTTTACTTCGAGATAGAAGCAGGTACTGCCTAGAAGATCGGTGTAACAATCCATGTCTGTATGAAATCCTGATCATTATGAGTGAAGCTATGAGTACAGAAGCGCTAGTTGCAAATGGTATTAACTGTTCCCGGAGATTACCAGTATGCAAGCGCTAGTTGCAAATGGTATTAACTATTCCCGGAGATAACCAGTATGCAAGCGCTAGTTGCAAATGGTATTAACTATTCCCGGAGATAACCAGTATGCAAGCGCTAGTTGCAAATGGTATTAACTATTCCCGGAGATAACCAGTATGCAAGCGCTAGTTGCAAATGGTATTAACTATTCCCGGAGATAACCAGTATGCAAGCGCTAGTTGCAAATGGTATTAACTATTCCCGGAGATAACCAGTATGCAAGCGCTAGTTGCAAATGGTATTAACTATTCCCGGAGATAACCAGTATGCAAGCGCTAGTTGCAAATGGTATTAACTATTCCCGGAGATAACCAGTATGCAAGCGCTAGTTGCAAATGGTATTAACTATTCCCGGAGATAACCAGTATGCAAGCGCTAGTTGCAAATGGTATTAACTATTCCCGGAGATAACCAGTATGCAAGCGCTAGTTGCAAATGGTATTAACTATTCCCGGAGATAACCAGTATGCAAGCGCTAGTTGCAAATGGTATTAACTATTCCCGGAGATAACCAGTATGCAAGCGCTAGTTGCAAATGATATTAACTGTTCCAGGAGATTATGAGTATGCAAGCCCTAGTTGCGAATGGTGTTAACTGTTCTCGGAGATTACGGGTATGCAAGCCCTATTTGCAAATGGTGTTAACTGTTCTCGGAGATTACGGGTATGCAAGCCCTAGTTGCAAATGGTGTTAACTGTTC